TGTGAGTGGGCTGGCGGCAGGAAGGCCCCATGGAGGGTGGCAGGGCTGTGGGTGCCTGGGGTGGAGCTGAGCACGAGAGGCTCACAGTGCTGTGGCCCTGACAGCTCAGCCGCAGCTGCCACGGCCACGAGGGGCCTGAGCAGGTGAGACAGTCGGCTCACAGAGCGCGGAGGGAATCGTGGGGGAAACTCCGTTACTCAGACCACTGAGGAGCGCCTCCCACGGGCTCTGTGCACGGCATGCTGGCCAGGAGGAGTGGCCTCCCGTGGCCACAGGGGAGAAGGAGGCAGTAAACACGGAGACACGCCAACGTCGGAAGTGCTCCGAAGGCCACGCTCTGGGGACGCACGTGGGCAGAGTCGCTGGGCACTGTGGTGGAGGGTCATGTCCTCCCAGAGGAGGCCACACAGGCTGAGACCTGGCATTGGAGAGGGGCCGCTCAGCGATGTGGGGTGGCTGCCCCACTCCTGGCCGGGACTCGCCCGCGAGGAGACCAGTGGCCCCGGAGGAGGAAGCCAGGAGGGGAGCCAGCCCAGAGCACGCAGGCTCTGAGGTCCATGGAGAAGATTTGGGTCTTGGTTCCGAGAGCCATGAGCCAGGAGTGAGAGGAAGTGGCCGCGGCTGGGGTCCCAGAGGCATGGACAGACAGGCTGAGGCCACACTGCAGGTGGGTCTTGCGGGGTTCGCTGGTGGCTGGTGCTGGGACCTTGGGACCACCAGGGTCTGGCCTGAGGATGGGTGTGGTCGGCAGAATGATGGCCCCAAGGATGCCCACGTCCTCATCCCTAGAACCTGCGGGGCATCATGTTACATGGCAGAGGGAGTCAGGGTGGTGAGAGCTTGGTGTGGCGCGGGCCCCCTGCTCTGGGGGTGCTGGCTCGGAGGAGGAAGGGGCCAGAGCAGAGGGTGCGGGGGCCTCCGGAAGCGGGGTAGCCTTCTGCTTGCAGCCGGCAGGGGCCTCGGCCCCTCAGCCACAGGAGCGTGCGCCCCGCCAACCCCTGAGTGAGCAGGATGGTGCTCCGGAGCCGCGGGCAGCGCTGAACCTGGACTGGGCGCGTGGGGCTCGGGTTCCGACCTCAGAGCTGGAGTACAGGTGCTGCTCAGTTTGTGGTCGTTTGTAGCGGCCACAGCCAGGCCGGGTGGGGAACGGGGAGAGTTCGGGGCGTGTGCCTGGGGAGGGGGGAGGGTTGCAGGTAGCCCTCTGCCCTGCCCTGCGGAGTCCTGCCGCGAACGTGGATGGGTGCCCGGGTCAGTCTTCATGGTGGCGGGTCCCCCACTGGCAGCCTCTGCAAAGCCCCTGCCTGCTGAGAAGCTCTGAGCTGCGGCCCCGACCTGCGCGCGCGTGTTTTTATCAGCCTGGCTGCCTGCTGTGCTTCTGACAGCTGTTGGCCTGTGATTTACTCGCGGTTCCTGTGGCAGGGACCCAGGCCTCTGCCCTGGTGGGGGTGGCGTGTTCGAGGGGGACCTGGGAGCACAGTGGGTGGCTTTTGCCCTGTTCGCAGTTCCTTCTGCTGGCTTGTTTTCCAGCGCCCACATTTCATGCCATTGATGTTCTGGGGGTGCTTGAGGGGTGTGATGAGCAGCTCGCTCTCGGTTCCCCCCGACGTTCCCTTTGCTGATAAGAGGAGGGCGTCAGGAGGCCCAGAGGGCGTGGGCAGCGGGCTCTTCCCTTTATGGGGCCCCACGCCATGCGCCATGGGGAACTCCCGCTTTGAGTCTCCCCAGTCCTTGTCCCCCCATTCTGTGACACGCTCCCTCTTTTCTGGGACGTAGTGGAGATGCCGCCGGGTCCCAGGGTGGAAGGCGCGGAGTCTCAGTGGCTCAGAGTCATGGAGGCTCCTGTGCACTGTGAGGACGAGGGCTGGACACACGTGAGTGACTGATGGGGCCACGCAGGGAGCACGCGCCGCCCACCAGGCCCTGGCTAGCCGCTCACGTGTGCTTCTCCGCACGGGCAGCGTTGGGGTCTCCGAGGGCCACGGCTCCTGAGAGTTGGCTGGCGTGAGCTCAGGCTGCCCTGCCCCCCGGTCCCGGGTTCTGACCTGTGGGCCTCGTCCTGTGCATCCTTGCTCATCCTGGGCCGTCCTCCCAGGCCGGCCTGATGTGTGCCCTGCCCGGCTGGCGCACCATCGGCTGCTCTTCTCACACAGACTGCACACTGGAGCCGGGCCCTGCTGCGGGCAGACCTCCCTGGCACGGCGCTTGCCTGTGGGGGCAGCTGCTCTCCACGTCTTCTTTCTGCAGGTTGCAAAATGAGCTTCCTTTTTTTAAAAAATATATTCTTACTGATTTCAGAGAGGAAGAGAGAGAGAGAGAGAAACATCAGTGATGAGAGACAATCATTGATTGGCTGCCTCCTGCATGCCCCCCCACTGGGGATCGAGGCCGAAACCTGGGCATGTGCCCTTGGCCGGAATTGAACCCGGGACCCTTCAGTCTGCAGGCCAACACTCTATTCACTGAGCCACACCAGCTAAGGCAAGATGAGCTTCCTTTCAATAAACATTCCTACTAAACTCACAAGTGGAATGACCTGTGGGCTCTGAGGCTCACACCACAGATGGAGCTGCGTCTGTCCGCACTCTGGGTTAGCTCCCGATCCCCCCAAAGCCCTCGCAGGTGATGGGGCAGCCGGGGCGTGGGCGCCCCTCCAGGCTGCTCCGTGCACCTTGCTCTTGTTCCCACGGGCGTGCGTGTGCAGGGGCGAGGCCAGTCGGCTGTGGGGCTGCGTGTTGTGTCGTTGGGGTGGGAAACCCGGGCGGTGGGGACTGGCCAGGCTTCTCAGCGTTCAGGGGAGACGCTGAGGCCACTCTCAGTGTGTACAGCACAGGACGGGGTCCCCTCGGCTAGGGCTCTGGGACGGCCCATTGGGGTGGGGCACGGGACGCCACCTTGCCTGTGCGGAGGGTCCCGCCTGCCTCTGTGTGACAGCTGCGGGTGGTGGGAGCGCCTTGGCTGCTGTGACCGACGTTTCGAGGACGGCTGTGCAGCACGTCCGCTGCGGACCCGTTTTGTGTTCTCTTAGGCTCACTGATAACCTGGGGTTAACTTTCTGTTCCAAACCCGCCACCAGAGCCGCTGTGGCATTCAGGTCCCAGCCCATGGGGTTTGGTAAAGCGCCCCAATTTAAGGAGCTCCTGCAGGAAGGGGCCTGCAGAGGGCGCGCTGGTCCCTCCTTTGAGAGCTGCCTCCTGCCTGCACCGCAGCTGTACCTGGAGAGGCTTCAACCCTCACTGGTGCATGGGAAGGAGAGGGGCAGAGGGAGCAGCGCTGCGCGGCCTTCCCGCTCCCAGGCCTGGGTGTGCAGGGAACCGATGCGGTCCTGCCGGGAGGGCCTTCCGCGGGGAGGGGACACCCACCCGGGACTCCGCGTGTAGCTTGTGACACGCTCTGCGGGGGAGGCGTGAGGAGAGTCCCAGCAGCATGGGCAGGGCGGGATTCTGACGCAGCGTGGGTGACATCACACCGGCTGAGGGACCATCTCTTCCTTGAGGCACTTACTTGGCTGTGCAGGGTGCTGTGTAGTCAGGGGCTTTGGCTGCAGCTTCTTGACAGAGTGGCTGAGGGCCGGGTGTGGGGGGAGTGTGCTGAGGGCCGGGTGTGGGGGCAGTGTGCTCAGGGCCAGGTGGGCAGTGTGCGTGCTGGGGGCCAGGTGTGGGGGCAGTGTGCTGGTGGCTGTGCAGGGTGCTGTGTAGTCAGGGGCTTTGGCTGCAGCTTCTTGACAGAGTGGCTGAGGGCCGGGTGTGGGGGGAGTGTGCTGGGGGCCGGGTGTGGGGGCAGTGTGCTCAGGGCCAGGTGTGGGGGCAGTGTGCTGGGGGCCAGGTGTGGGGGCAGTGTGCTGGGGGCCAGGTGTAGCAGGGAGTGGTGCTCTGCAGGGATAGCGGAGTTCCAAAGCCGGCCGTGCACAAGTAGGCCCAGATAGTCTTGATCTTGGGGTTTTAAAAAACCTTCTAGACCTGTGTGTGAAACAGCCAGACAGGTTCCTTCGAGATGCTGTCATACTGTGCGCATCTGGCTTACTTTTCAGAGTCATGTCATGAAGCTCACTTACCTTAATTCTTGTAGCTGTGGTTCAGTCATGTTTTCTTTGGGTTCATGTTCCATTGTATGTATATATTCCAGTTTGTCTACTTATTTTTCAGATAATTCTTAAAAATTAAACAAGAAAGAAAAGGTTACAAACATCCCAGAACCTGTCCCTGGTGTGCAGGGCCTGTGGTCACAAGTGGAATTATGTCCCGTGTGCCTCCTTTCCATAAGAAACCACCCGTGTTCTCTTTAAAGCTGAGTTACTGTAGTGCTTTAAAGCAGTGTAATTTATTAAAAAGCTTATTGGGTCGTGTTTTTAAAAGAAAGATTTCATGATCTGAAATGAGGTAGTTGCCACTTATTTTTCTAAAATGGCTCCAGTTGAAACTTGTTTTTCTTCTCAGCTGTGCGAGACCAAATAGAAATGAAATTTTAATAAGGCGAAATGAGGTTCCTTTTAGTCGGAGGTGAACTTTGTGGGAACATTTTCTGCTCAATAAACACAAGTGGTTGCCCATGAAGAATTAATGAGTTCGCTGCGCGGGCGGGAGAGGGCCTGCAGCCCGCGATAACGCCGCGAGGCTTTCGTGAGCACGCGGACCCAGAGGCAGCGGCGCCGCCTCCTACTTTGAACCGTGTAAACGTTGAGACGTCCCGGGAGAATGCGAGTGTTCAGTACAGATGGGGCGGGCGTATTGGTGAGCGCTGTTTGTACATCACTTTGCAGTACTCACCCTGCTGTCGTACACGGTTATCTCATTTCATACTCGTTCTTCAAAAAAGCATATTTTTATTGATTTCAGAGAGGAAGGGAGAGGGAGAGAGAAATAGAAACATCAATGATGAGAGAGAATCATGGATCGGCTGCCTCCTGCACGCCCCACACTGGGGATGGAGCCCACAACCCGGGCATGTGCCCTGAGCGGAATTGAACTGTGACCTCCTGGTTCATAGGTTGATGCTCAACCACTGAGCAATACTGGCCGGGCTTCATACACATTCTTATTCCCATGCCTGGGACGAGGTTCCCATGCTGAACCTCAGAGCAATTACTTGGTTAAGAATGTGCCAGCTCGTACCTGCTGGAGGTGGGACTCGAACCCAGGCCTCTTGCTCCCCATGACTGGGAACTGCCTGCCGAGGTCAGGAGGCCTCTGTGACGCGTCCGGAAGGGCCATCGCTGGGGGTTGTGCTTGGTCTAGGCAGGCGGCTACT